ACACCTTGCTCTGAGCGAGTCGCTCGACGTCGATCGCCTTTTCCTCTTGCAGCCTCGCCTCTCGCCTTGCTCGACGTCCTCTCGCGGCCTCGCCTTAGGTCTCCCTTTCCGCCTCGCGGCCTCGCCTTCCGCCTCGCGGCCTCGCCTCACGCCTCACGGCCTCGCCTCACGCCTCGCAGCCTCGCCTCAAAGTTCCGCCAAATTCACTATGATGATGCAGTCACACGTGAGCTTCCATTTTTGTTATTTCTATGTCCCTCCAAAGTATAAATGATCGTCTTCAAATTGTTGTGCTTTGTGGCAGATTACTTGATGGAGAACAAGTTGGAGGTGAAGAGACTACGGTGGAAGATGATGGATTTTTGAAGGCCTTCAAGGGTTTTTAGTTGACGTTAAACCTAGAAGATTACGTCGGTGAGCTCCCTCTCTCTCTCTCTCTCTCTCTAGTGTTGTACCTTTCTTTCTAGCTGACTTGATCTGTCGTGGAATTAATTTGTGCGGTGGGGGGCTCCTGATGATTTATGCATAGTTTGGTCATCTCTTTTAATGCGTTCAAGAGTCTGAACCACCTATGATTTTCAGGGAAATTCTTTCTGAATGAGTTTGTTCAAGTAGGCTAACAAAATATCAAGCTTCTTAGATTGTCTGTCAATCACAAAACGAGGAACAAATCTTGTATATTTCACGAGATTCATCATTACCTCACTTGACCCTCAATCTCAAACGAACAGCCCTTTCCCGATTTCCTATAATCAGTAAGTTTTTTTCACTCAATTTGCTGAATTTGGTGGCTGAATTTAATGGCTGTTTTGGTGTGATGGCTCATTTCTATGTTTTGCTTGATTTAGGCGATCTATTTACACGTCAATGGAAGTGGATCAATCCAATGATGCTATGAATCCAATAATGGACTCACTAGAACATGAAAGTGAAGAAAACCTCGAAGAAGCATCCGACACAAACAAGGTATCTAATGCTCGTCCTGCTAGTTCTGGAAAACGAACATCAGCAGCCTGGCTTCATTTTCGTAATGGCAAAACTGAGAATGGGAAAACCGAGAAGATTTGCAATTATTGTGGGGTTATATATTGGTACTGTGTTGATAACGATACTTCTACTATGTTGAAGCACTTGAAAAAATGCAATAAGTATCCTCGCAACATAGATAAGAAGCAAAGATTTTTTACCCCACGTAGAGTGGATGGGACTAAAATGACAATGGGGCAGACTAGTACTGGTAGTACAAATGCCTTATCGACATGGAAATTTGATCAGGATCGTTGTAGGCAAATGCTTGTTCGGATGATCATAATGGATGAGCAACCTTTTTCGATGGTTGAGCGCGTCGGATTTCGTGATTTTATTAATCAATTACAACCTCTCTTCAATCACATCTCGCGATTTACTGTGGCTAGAGATTCCATGAAGTTGTATCTTTGTGAAAAAAGAAGTTTGAAGACTTACTTTCACAATCTTAAGTCTAGGGTTGCACTTACTACTGATACCTGGAGTTCCATTCAGAACTTGAATTATTTATGTCTCACCGCACATTTTATTGATGATGATTGGAAATTGTATAAAAGAATTATCAATTTTGTGGTGATGCCTAGTCACAAGGGCAAAGATATTGGGAAAATGGTTGAGAAATGCATCTATGAGTGGGGATTAGAGAAAAAAGTGTCCACAATCACCGTGGATAATGTTAGTTCGAATGATGTTGCCATTGGTTTTTTAAAAGAAAAATTATCAAGAGATAGGCTATTGATTTTAGAAGGTGATGTTTTACACATGAGGTGCACGGCTCATGTATTAAACTTGATTGTGAGGGATGGATTGACCGAGGTACGTGATTCTATTGCACGTATTCGGAGCGTGGTTAGGTATGTGAGAAGTTCTCCCATGAGAGCTAAAACATTCCAAAGTTGCATTGAGAGTGCAAGGATCACTTATAAGGGTTCAGTTTGTCTTGATGTCACAACTAGGTGGAACTCTACTTATCTCATGTTGGACACTGCCTTAAAGTTCCGAAAAGCTTTTGAAAGGATGGAAGAAGATGATCCTTCTTTCTTAACTGAGCTTGACTATGAAACTCCTAAACATGAAGATTGGGAAAGTGCTAGAATTCTTGCCGTATTTTTGAAGAAATTTTACGATGCCACCAGCAAGATGTCTGGGACTTTGTACATTACTTCGAATAATTATTTTAATGAGATAGCTACTTTATATAAAACTCTAAAACAAGCGGAGAAGGCAACGGATCCTAGTTTGAAAGCTATGGGTGCAAAGATGAAGGAAAAGTTTGACAAATACTATGGGAGTTTCGAAAAAGTAAATATGATGGTGTTGATTGCGGTAATATTGGATCCAAGAAGAAAGATGAATTATGTGCGGTATTGTTATAGACTAATCTATGATGATAGTGCGAAAGTTGATGAAATGTACAATAAGGTGAGGATTGCCTTGGAACGATTGTTTCATTTTTATGAGAAAGCTTATCTTGGTTCTTGTGAAAGAAATTTGGGTGGTCAATTTTTCATTGATACTAGTAGTAGCTGGGATCATGATAGCCATGAGGAGGGTGAGAAGGATGACCTTGATTCGGTTGAGGATTTCACTTCAGAAAAGGCGTTTGATATCTTTCTTCACGAGGAGAAAAAAGTGTCCACGAGCAAGTTATCTGAACTCGATAAGTATCTTGAAGCCGAACATGAAGAAAGTCGTGATCTTGACCTTTTGATGTGGTGGAAAACTGCTGGCCAAAAGTTTAAAATCCTTTCTATGATGGCTCAGGATATTTTATCAATTCCTGTAACAACCGTTGCTTCGGAGTCGACTTTCAGTACATCTGGTCGTGTACTTGATGGCTTTCGAAGTTCTTTGACTCCTAGAGTGGTGGAAGCTTTGATTTGCACTCAAGATTGGTTAAGGATGGTTACCATGCCGATTAATGTTGAAGAGTGCATCCAGAATGCGGAAAGGTTTGAATGGGGTAAGTCATTGATGTATCTTTTTATCTTGTAATTCTTTTATATATCTAATAAGTGAATATTTTATTTAATATTTTGATTTTTTAGATATGGATGATGTCAACTCAGAGCTTACCAATAAATAGAGTTTGCTGGTTCAAATAGAAGAAATATATGTGGTGAGATTTTCCATTAATTATTTGAGTTCAATTTCTAGTAATTCTAGTTTAAACTAATGTTGAGTGCTCATATATACTTATTGCAGGGCTATCAGCAAGTTTAGCCATGTTTTTTGGTCTCTCGGCTTTGATCATATTTTCGGGCTCTCACTGTGGTTTTGGAACAAACCTCCAGCTCCTTTACTAATTTCTTTTGACGCTAAGGAAGTCGAAACAAGCTGTTGCTTCCACAAAGAGGTTGGAGGAAGGTAGGGCAATCTCTTGGAACATGAGCTTAAGTCATTGAAATGGTTGTTTTTGCACCTTCAACGTATGGTTCTTGCTTGGTGTGCAGTGCACTACCATTAGATGGTGCAGTGGAGGCTTGATAAATTAATGGCATTTCTGATGCAGGGAAGCCATTATCTATCTTGGACAGGATTTTCATGGCAATTAAGGATGACATAGGTTGCCACCCACAGGTAAAGTTTGTTCCGGAAACTATAATTTGCCGCGGCACTTCATCTATGGCCAGATTGAGTGTTGAACTTCAACACTTAAATAAATGTAATTTTTGACTTCCAATGGATAGTATTGAACAATGGCAGAAGTGTGTATTGAACTTTTGTTGATATGGGGTTCTACTCTTTTTTTTTTTTTTTGCCTCTCTAATAACACGTGTTTAAATTAGGGGATGTATATTTTTGGAAGCCCACATGGGACATATTTTTTTTTTACAAGTATTTGATTCATTTGAACCGGACCGGACAGGTCGGTCCGATCCAGTCCCCGGTTCCAAGACTAGTCGGTCCGGTCCACGGTCCCAAAAATTGGGAACCGGTCATCTCGGTCCGGTTCCCGATTCTTGGATGGGACCGGACCGGACCGGGAACCGATCACCCCTATTCTTGACTTATAGTTCAACTTCCTTTTATGTTTTGAGTTAATCAATTGTCATCACGTGTCATGAACTCCACTTAAACTCTGTCCGTCGGAAACTCACGATCGATGAGCTCTTCAAACATTTCATGATTTGGTTTCTTGGGTCATGTGTTGTTATGACTTTTAGGTTCAATGAGCTTGTTTAGGCATTTTATTGAGTAGGCCTTATGTTTTAATTGTATTGTTATGACGCGGTGTCAATGCACTAACAAGTTGCCAGCTTGCTCTTTGAATTAATATTTGCTTTGATGGCGTGTTATGGAATGCGAGCTTCTAACCAATTCATTTGGACAAGCATAATCGAAAGTTCGTTTGCGTCCGTGCTGCGCCATACCAAGGGTTGGCATTCTAATATCCAGGTCGATTGCTTCTAGCAAAATCCAACAAACAGGGAAAGAATTCCTTCAAGTGCAGATCTCCTATTCCACTATTGATCGATACTTAAACCAACCTGATGATGGCCATTCAAGCCCTGCCCAGTCATTCTTTATCTCACGGTCCTCTCTTTGAACGACAGGAAAGATACAGGGGGAGGAAACTCATAAACCACAGAAAAATCGGCTAGAAAGGCCTGCCATTAGGGAGGCAAGAGTTATCAAAGTTAAACTAGCGCTATTGATTTGATACAATAGTCATTAAGCAACCGAAGTTCCCACTGACTTGTTAGGCAGTTCCAACAGTCAGAATCACACGCGAGCGCACAGAGTTAAGGGACGTCGCATCTGTCAATTGGGATGAAAATACCATCCAAGTGATCTGGCTTTTAGCCACGCCATTCCAAGTCCTTCCACCAACTCCTCTCCCCCTTGATTTTCTTCAAATGCTCACTGGAAACTTCATTGGTCGAAAGAGACTTGAGACTCGGGCCATAAAACTCAACCTTTCTAACCTTGGTGCGATCCGTAGCCACAGGGCATACTGGAAAGTTTAGGTACTAATGGAGGGACAACTTCTTCAAAATAGGGAGGAAATAAGACGTCTCACGGACTTTGCCAGTAGAAGTTTGGCAGGTAAGTAGGCTTTTAATGGCTGGGCAGTCCTCAATTGTGACCTCCTCCAAATTGTTGAGATTACCAAGCATCTCAAGGGAGAAAATAATAGTCAACTCGGGGCATTTACACAATGTCAATAACTTGAGAGAAGACAAACATCCCTTCTGCACTGAGCCCTTCCAAATGTTCCTCGAGTTTCTCATGTAGTACACATATTTGATCGATTCAAGACAGATGCTTTTGCAGTGAGATTCAGTCAAAGCCTCTTGATGCATGGTATCATATGCATCTTTGAGCACTTCAAGCTCATTACACTGCCCCAGAACACAGCATTTGAGTTGCCCCATGCTATCTATCCCTAGTTCGGACAGCTTCTTGAGATTAGCATGCCTTTCTAAGAAAGCCATCTGATTGTTGCAGGATGTCCTTAATATCTATGAAGACACCGTCACCAGTTATGTACCTCAGGTATCGGTTGCTCCGTTCCAGCCCGAATTCAACATCCGATGGTAGCCGATTCATGATGCGGTTAGCATGATTGCCAATGAGAAGTTTAATTTGAGCTAAATATGGATGCTCCATTGATTTCCTAAGCTGATTAAACTGCCTCAAAAGTTCCAATGTAGGAAAGGAGAACTTGATAGTGCTTAGCCTTTTCAAGTTGCAAACTTCAGATACAACACCTTCAGCACATGTATACCACCATTCAACATCGGCATCCACATCGAGATTAAGTTCTTCCAAGTGCAATAGAGAAGATATTACCCCATGAGGAATCACTGTTTTATACTCATTTGAAGGTTCAGTTCCAGAAATTGAGATTATCAAACAAGTCAGATTAATCAAACTTTCAATTTCCTTGGGAAGATTCGTAATCTTCGTCCCCTCAAGATCAAATACCTCCAGCTGCTTGAGCCTTCCAATTGCTGGCGATATCAATCTCAAAAGGACACAATCATTCAAGAAAAGTCATTTGAGGCTGACAAGGTGAGATATTGACTCTGGCAAGCACTGAATGCAGGTTCTGGACAAATTCAAAACTTCAAGAGCAGCCATTTAATTGAAAAATGAAGAAGTAAGCTTTCTCAGCTTGGAATTTCTTTGCAGAAATAATGATGAAAGTGAAGGGCACCTTGGTTCCTCCAGGAGCTCAGAAATCCTTGTTTGCATCAAACATGCCTCTTTTGCACTCTCCCATTCCTCAACCTCTGGTGGCTCTGTGAAATCCAAGCCACCCCGCATCAGAAACACACGACTTTCCTCGAGTTGAAAAATTAAGTTCACTAATATATGCTTATCCAGATCTTGAAACTTCACAAATTGCTCATTCTCATCAACTTCGAGCAGGTTAGCATTGACAAGATCTTTTAGAATTTTTTGGTCGTCATCATGGGTGTCTACCATACCATCCCTGACCCATAGGCCTCTGGCAGTCTCAGCTGCTATCTCTTGGGAATTGTTACAAAGAGCAAGATTTTTCAAGCATCTTCTAGTTTTAGCATCTGTTAGTTGGTCAATGCCAAATTTGATACATTAACCATAAGAGCTTCTATACCTGCTTCATGACTTGCAGGTCGAAACATCCAAGCGCATGTTTCCAGATTAAATGTCATTAACATTTTGCAGTGCCTTTGCCATTAGAATAACATCATGCGAATAGTGACTGCACATCCTAACTATTTCCCTAGCTAAGACTTGAACATTAGTTGAATGAACAACTTCACCCACATTCTGACGAAATAATTCCCAGAACAAGAGATCGTCCAAACATATTTTCTTATCCACTTCGATTTCATCACACAATTGTCCTGATCCATTCACAAAGACTACCTTGCTACCAATTGGTGGTGTCGTATCAGAAATTCTCATCGTCTCCAACTTCATGGGTTGATTAATGCCAACAATAAGAGTAAAAACTTGAAGCCTTCCATGCATTCACCACTGAATGTGGCATTTCAACCGCGTCGGCTTTAGTTAAATTAGAAGATAGCTACCTTTCTGATCTTCAGCGGCAGGTGGACGGGCTTTCACATGAACAATGGATGATCAGACTGAACTAGTGACGGGCTGAACAGAGATCAATTTTTCCTGAAGCAGTAGCAATTACAAAACGTCAGTACATTTCATCTGCAAACATTATTGATAGTGTTGAAATAATATCTTGAGTTCGTGCCCAACGTCAGATTGAAGTGCCTGGAGGCCTTGCCTGTTGGCCCGGAGGTGGACTCCTTGCCCGGAGCCCGCCTGGCTAGGTACCTCAGATGTGTGTGTGTGTGTGTGCTTTTTTACCTAGGATGTGTGTTCAGTGGGGGTTTTTTCTCGGGCATAGCCCAGTAGGATTTATTCCGTAAATTTGTTATGTATTTGATTTGTATTTTCATCCACAGAGAAGATTAAGCCACTAGAAATATCTTCAATAGAATTTTCCGTCATTTCTCTATGTTATTCATAATGAACAGGGAAGTCCTAGAGGGCTAGTTTGTGAGTTTAAGGGTGTAACATTGGGGGCTTGGCAAACACTTGAGAAGATTCGACGCGCGACTGGAGAGCATGGCCTAACATTTTGTCACTAAACAAAAACTTGATTCGTGGCTGATCTTATGTGGCCATTCTTATCCCAAAGTAGATAAGATAAAAAAAAAAAGGTAATATCGCAATTCTCATCCCAAAGCAAAAAAGAAGAAAAATAAAAGGTTATATGGCTGTGGCAAGCTGGCGAGCTCCGATATGCACCGTTCTCCATCCTTAAATAGGTGAATGATGTTGATATCTGAGCAATGTACGCCACGATGACGAAGATATCAGCTACGCTCATATTGATTTGTTCTTTATTCGTAACTAGCTACGTATGAGGTCTTATGTGTAGTATGTATGTTGAGATCAATAACAATTTGCTGGATGGAGTAGTTACTCTAACAGTTCATTGCAAATCCAAGAACAACGATATTGGAATATATGATATAATGCGCAGCCAGGGATTCTCATTCACACCCAATTTCTTTTGTGGGGGGATTGTTCTTTTGCGGCTTTGCATGGCCGGCTCAATTTGAGTGGTTTGATATATATAAGGAAAAAGGGACCGGCATGATTGCAACTCGTGTACTTGGAGGATCTCGCCCAATGGTCCTTGTAGGCTTAGTGACTCCGGAGAGTATAATGTTTGTTATCCATGGAATCCGAAATCTCTTATGTGAATGTGCGATAGAGAAATATGACATTGTGAACTCATACTTCATGATTTAGATGGAATAAGAATCATCTTTGTTATCTTTTAAATTAATATTCACACATCTCTTCTAATAGCCTCATCATTCATTTTCGATTGGCATCACCTTCTTCAAATCGTCCCTTCGCTTTTTGTCATTCTATTTGCACTTATTACTTATACCGTTTCTTATCTCTATCAAAATGTTTCGATGTAAATCATTTTTAATTAAAAAAAATGCTAATAAGTGTCAAGTCATGTAGGTTTTGAATTTGTAACGCCGTGTCATATCACGAATCAACACCCTTGATATGTGCTATCAAAAGAGATATACGCATAATCTTGAGAGATATGCACTATCAAAAGAAATATATAAATAATCTTGAGAGATATGCACTATCAAAATAGATATATGAATAATCTCGAGAGATATGAAAAATCAAGAAAATATCATAATATTACTAACAAGGATCATGTGCTTATCATAAGGGAAAAAAAGAGAGGCTAAACTGACTAGGACTCCTTTACTTTGCTACCAATTTAGGGAAAATTGTAGCATCCGGTGATGCTACACTGGCATCATGAGTATGCACATTTACGAACTTAATTTCACTCTCCCAAGGAAAAATAAAAATAGAAAACCCAAAAAACACAAAAACAAAAACAATGGCTACGGAGTTTGTCGCATAGGATAGTGTTGGGCATTTGAAGGAAACCGCTATAATAATTGACAGCAAATGATCTTTCTAGGAAAACTTCAATGTGGTCAAACTTGTAATTTTTCATTAATTTCATCTTCCGCATATAGCCCTCAAAAGGAGAAAAAAAGAAAAAACAAAAGCAAATATAAAGTTTGAGAAAAAGAGCATGATTAAATGTGATAATGAAGGTTGGGCATAATGATAATGAAGTTGATTTTCGTTGACTTTATGCTAAGATTGGACTTTCAACTTGGGGGAAATTATGGCTCCAATAAGTTCGGCTCAAGTTGGACTACGGTTCGATTCTTATGAAATTTAACAAATGGGAAATGGAGATGCGGTGAAAGTTTCTTTTATCAGACTTATGTCTTTGATGTGAAGAGTCATTTCAAAGGGAAATGATGTCGTGTAAGTAAATAATTAGGGGGCATGTGGTTCGCGCAAATTCAACAATTTCAAAAAAAAAAATCTCCTAATTTTGATTATTTATTCCACTTGGAAAAATGACTTAATAGAAAAATGTTTTATAAATGTTTTATTAATTAATACGTTTTTTAATTACTCATTTTCCTAAATGATATAAAAAAATAAAAGTTAGAAAAATCTTTTTCAAATGTCGTACGTGAAATAAATGCAACCTTATATTAAGATGCTTTATCAGATTCTACACAATATGGTTTTGTGTATATCGAGTGTCATGATGTTGGGTATATCGTTATCAAGCCAATCACTGTTTATCAATCTACAATTTTTTTCCCTAAACAAGGGTTCATGGGGAAAAAAAGTGTCGACACATCATGCTAGTATAAGTTCTCGATATGTCTAGCATTGCCAAATATTTTGCCATTAAACAAAAACTTGATTTGCGGCTGACCTTACGTGAAATTATTTAAAAGTAGATAAGAAGAAAAATAAAAGATAATTGATCGTCCCAAATTAAGAATAAATCGTTCGAAAGAAGAAATGTAAAAGGTAATAAATCGTCCCAAATTAAGAATTAATCGTTCGAAAGAAGAAATGTAAAAGGTAATAAATTCGTCCCAAATTACGAAAGAAGAAAAATGAAAGGTGATTGGTTGCTGCAAGTTGGCGAGCTCTCCAACCTTAAATAGCTTCAAGATGTTGTTATTGGAGCACTGTAAGCCACGATGATGAAGACATCAACTTCGCTTAGGTTTATTTATTTATTACTTGTAACTAGCTGTGTCAGAAGTGTTATGGGCAGGACGCGTGTTGAGATCAACAACTATTTGCCACTTGGAACTACTCTAACGGTTCATTGCAAATCCAAGGAAGACGATTTTGGAATCAAGGACATAACGGACTCCTGGGGATTCTCATTCGAGCCCAATCCCTTCGGGAGGACATTGTATTTTTGCAGCTTTTCATGGCCGGGTCGATTTGAGTGGTTTGATATATATAAGGGAAATAGGGACTGGACTTATTGCCAATTGTGTATTTGGAGGATCTTTCCCAATGGTCCTTGTAGGTTTAATCCTGACTCTGCAGAGTTCGATGATTGTTATCCATGGAATCCGAAACCTCTTATGTGAATGTTTGATTGAGAAATATGATGTTGTGAACTCATACTTCTTGATTTGGATGGAATAAGAATCATCTTTGTTATCTTTTAAATTAATATTCACGCACGTACGTTTCTCTTCCAATATCCTCATTATTCACTCTCGATTGGCATCTCTTCTTTAAATTGTTGTCCTTTCACTTTTTGTCATTCTATTTGCACTTATTACTTATACCGTTTCTTATATCTATCAAAATGTTTCGATGTAAATTTTTTTTAATAAAAAAAGGTTAATGAGTGTCAAGATGTTAGAACAATAAGGTGAGATTGTCATAATCCCAATATGAAGGAGATCATGTTGGGTTGTGCAATAGCTGTGTTGTTATCAAATTAATAATTGTAACTCATTGTATTGCTCTATGTTAAAGGATAATGAATCATTCCCAAAGAAAATAAGATGAATTGGGGATTTACCACTGTGGATGTAAGTTTCCAAGGATTATACCCTTGATCCTATGAACCATGTTAACGATTGAGTGTTCCTCTTCTCTTCTTTTATCTCTCTTCTATACATGATCATCATTAAAACGCAAGCCATGTTGGTTTTGAATTTGTAACGCTTTGTCACGTCACGAATCTAACATACAATCAATTCTTTGGGAGAAGCAGGCAATTCCTATTGGTGCAACTTAACCTAATATGCTTACTATCCGATTTGAGTGTTGCTATTAGCGAGTTTGAAGTTATGGATACATGATATTGCCACTTTTTATTGATATATGATATGTAATTGAAATGTTACCGTATCGTCGGAATTGCTCCCTCAATGAAATATCTTTCAATGAAAGTCATTTTTCGGCATTTAGTTAATGAAACCAAGTTTTGCGATAACTCTGAGAAGAAAATATCATATGCACAAGTGAAAGGAATCAACACCTTCAAATTCGAATTGAATTATACAGACGCGAACTGTGCT